GGAGATGACGTTGAAGAGCGAGTAGATGCAGCACACGCCGAGTAGGATGAAGAGGAAGTTGCCCAGGCGGTAGAGCCCCTGGTTCCGGTAGGCGGCGTGCTGGCTGCTCACCAGGTCCCCGAAGCCGATGGTGCTGAAGGTGACGAAGCAGAAGTAGAGCGAGTCCACGTAGTCCCAGCCCTCCACGCTGGTGTACATGGCCGAGGCGCAGCATGCCAGCAGCACAGCGAACAGGCCCAGGATGAGCAGCACGTGGTACACCGACGGCTTCCAGCCCGCTAGGCTGTCGGCCTCTGACAGCGCCGAGCCTCGACGGAAGGTGGCGGGCAGGAGGCCGCTGCGGCGCAGCTGACGCTCTCGGCAGGCGCGCATGATGAAGGCCAGCAGCGAGATGATGCGCTCCAGAAAGAGGTTGAAGAAGAGGATGGTTCCCGCGCAGCCGAACAGTCCGTAGGCGATGAGAAAGGCCTTCCCGCCCACTGTGGCTGGGGTGGTCATGCCGAAACCTGTGGAGATGAGAGCCAGGGTCAGCGAGGGCAAGGGGTCCTTATCTGGTGTGGGGGTGTGGCAGTTCGAATACAGATGCTGGATCAACTCCTGTCCCAACTGATTTAAGTCAGGTGGGGGACCGGACAGCACTTAGACACTTCCCTCTCTTGGCGGCTTTTGATCATGGGAACCCCAACAAGATGGAAAGAGACCTTTGCCGTGGGAATATTTACATAGCACGGGTAGGGTATATAGGCGCTAGGATGGGTCCAATAGGATGTGCCAAGCAGCAACAGGTGCGCACACGCTAACTATTGAGCTTGCCCATAAAGCCAACAAATGACACCTGTTCCCCTGACTGAATTTTTTTATGGACTCCCAGGCAGACAGACAGCCTTGTTGGGGTGGACTTCCAGAAGGACACCTTGTAATTGGGATTGCTTACTCGGGGACCAGTAAGAGAGAATGACCAGAAAGCTTTAGTTCACTTACCGAGCTTACACAAGGGTCCCCTCCCTTGGCTCTTAGAGTGCAAATCTGGACATCTGCCACTGGGTTTCTGATCCCTCTCTCTCTCCGGGACCATCATCAGTCACCCTTGCTCAGACTTTAGACAAGGGAAATGTTTTGACCCAGCTGGACCCTGTGGTGCTGGTCTACTGCTGGAGCTTTGTCCTGGAAGGTTTTCAGCCCTTATAATTAAGAGAAGTAACCTACCCACCATCTGTGGAAAGCTGTGCTTTAAAGACATTGTTAACAGATTCCCACAGAAGGACTGGCTGCCCCACCAGTGTGCCCATTAGAGTTGCTTGAGAAAGAGTGGGGGGCCTTGATTCTCTTGGTCCTTAGAGTCTGAGCTCTCTGACCACTGTCACTCATTTCCATGCCCGTGGGAGCAAAGCTTCAGACACGACCCCCACTTTCTTCACACCCAACAGAAAGGGAGAGCCCATGTGCTGCTGTGAGGTATGTCCAGCCCTGGGGAGAAATCGAGGGTGCTTTGTCCCAGTTGGCTTACTGTCTCCTTAACTAGGCCAGAGAAAATACTCCCTAACATTTTCAGAGCAAATTCCTTAAGCTTGTATGCTAATCACTTTCTTGAGTCCCTGGAGGAAATGCCCAAGTTGTCTATTCATTTTACGCTTACTGACTCAAGTTCAAGGAAAATCCGATGACATTACTCACTGGGAAATATGGTTTGTTCCCTGCGTTCCAAGTCTGGCCACAAAAGAATGAAAAATAACAGCAAATAACAGTAACAAGATCAACGAAATGTTAGTGGTTTGCCCAGGAATGTGAAAGAAGAATTTAACAATACTCTAAAGCCAAACTCTTCTTGGGCTCACAAAGAAATAAACTCTGTATTTATTTATATTAGTGCACGTGCAGGTAGAGTGCAGACAAGCTGATTAATGTTTGTAATCCTAGGGTTTAGGAGGTAGAGGCAGGAGGGCTAGGAGTTCAAGGTCATCGCTAGGTACATAGGAAATTGGAAGCCAGCCTAGGATATAGGAGACCCTGAATGGACTCTAGCCAGCTGAAGCATAGCAAACAAGGCCCTGGCAGGCCTTGACCTTCTACACCATTTCATCTTCCTTGCTAAAAACCTTTAGATTACATTCTTAAAGCTAGCCACCAAGGTCTAATCCTTTATTTGGCTACTTCCTCCTCCTGAGGTTGCCTACCAAGGTCCAGCTATCAAAGTATTGAAGCCCAACACTCAGAAGCCCCTTTGGCTCACCTAATTAACATGCCCAATTAAAATTAAACACCTCATCCTAACACAGGGTTTTCCCTTTTCCCTTTATAAACTGCCATTTCCCAATGGGCCATGTCTCCTCTCTATCCAGAGGCAGTCTTCTGTCCCTCCAGGACAAATATCCCTTCCCCCCTCCCTATTCTCTTCCCCCTCTCTCTGTTCCCTTCCCCTTCTCCCTCATCCTCTGTCTCCTGTCTTTGTCTCTTATTTCCTTCCCTCCATCTCTCTAGGGAAAATAAATCTCCTTAGTGCTGAGACCTTGGTCTTGGGGGTCCTGAGCCGATGGCGATCCTTTCAGACAGTCTCAAAAACAAAATAAAAGAAAGTAAATTTAGAAAGTCCTAGATCAGGGGTTGGAGAGATGGCTGGGTGATTAAGAGGAGAAACTGCTCTTGCAGAGGACCTTAGCAGATATCTGAGCACCCACAACAGGTGGTTCACAACCGCCTAGAGCTCTAGCTCCAGGGAGTCCAAAGCCTCTGGCATCCAAAGACTTAGGCACCTGCACCCGCATAGTCCATTCATATGGTTTAAAGCCCTATATTGATAAGCTAGTGCCCAGCAACGTAACTAGACCTCAGTCTGTTCATTACAAGGGAACCTCATTCACTGGGGAAAAAAAATGCTTATAATATGATGAATCTTGCACAAAAAAGAAGATTGAACAGAAACAAGCTGTAAAGAAACTCACTTGCACTGTTTCAGTAATATAATACATTTAAAAAAATTTTTTAGGGGTGCCTACTTGATTGATCAAATTATAAGGAAAAAGTAGGGACTTTCTTGGGGAGAGGATGCAGGGGAATGAATAATGATTTATATGCAGGGATCCTCTAAATGTCACCTGAATGCCAGCTATGTCGGATATGTTAAACTTTATTTTATGTGTTTCCTCACACCTCCATGATAAGAAAATATTCTTGATTTTTACAGTGTTACAACTGGAAGAGACTTTAATCTTCTTTTGTTACAACTCACCTATTTAAGCTTGAGTACTATTTTATTAGTGTTTGAGAGAAAAGCAGCCGGATGTTTTGTTATTTTCCTTTGTCACTGTTGGCGATCACAGCCAAGCCTGGAACAAGGCTGGCGAGTGCTCTACTACCGAGCTCCATGGCCACTTAAGACACCTGAATTTTGACCTGTCCCTCAAGGTGTTAGTGAGGGAGGAGAGGCAGCCAGAGCCTGTCCTGTGATAGGACATGTTTGGAGACAGACAGCCACCTCCTTTTGTCACAATGGCTGCTCTGCTTAGGTGGGGAACAGAACCTCCAGTGGAGGATTCCTTTGTTAAATTCCTAAAGGAATGGAAAGTCCTAAGCCTGGAAAATTGGTGCTTATCCAGGTTATGAAAATGCTGAATCGGATTTTCCTACTTTTCCATTTTTCAGCTACAGTCTCAATACTGAGAACACTCCATGGCATGTAATTCCTCATGCGTGTGTAATTCCTCGTGTGTGTGTGTGTGTGTGTGTGTGTGTGTGTGTGTGTGTGTGTGTGTATGTGTGTGTGTGTGTGTGTTCAGCAGGGTCTCATGTATAATGGCTGCAGATTTACTATGTAACCAAGGCTGGCTTTGAACTCTGGATCCCTTAGTTTATCTCTAGACTGCTGGGATTACAGGTGTGTGACACTATGTCTGGCCAGACACATCCATGCTGGATTAACTAAATAGTCAAAACAGGTTTGACAACTAGGACATCCCCCACCCTGACTCCCTGACTTCCTCATAGGCTAGAAATTATCCTGGGTATTGGTGGGAGATGCATTTGACTTGTTAGAGTCATTGTGTGCCGGCTTCTTCCACATATCCGCAGGCCACCCATGGCTGTGGGGGAACTGTCAAGAGAATAGTCAGAGGCTGGTGTGTGGTGCACTTTAATTCCAGCACTTGGGAGGCAGAGGCAGGCAGATCTCTGAGTTCAAGGACAGGCTGGTCCACAGAATGAGTTCCAGGACAGTCAGGGCTATACAGAGAAACCCTGTCTGGAAAAACAGGTGTGTGTGTTGGGGGAAGATATCAGAGGACAAACAGGCAGCTTTCCTCCCAGATGGGAACTGGCTGAGGTTACAGGAACTTACATGGACTGCACAAATGTTGGATGGAATGTAGGGAGAATTCCAGAACAACCGACAGTGTCCTCGGAGTCTGAGGTCAGCTGTGTTGGCTAGCTGTCTGGGTGGGAATCTGATAGGGACACCTGCACAAGGAGGGAAGGAAGAGGGCAGTGATGAGAGTGGTCTTTGCCTCAAAGGTGGTACAGGTTGGATTTTTTTAAAGATACTATCTAAGGCCTCTTCCTGCTTAACTTCCATGTGGGTGATGTTTGCACTGTGCCCAGCTTACTGTTACTGTTTGGATCTTTTCAAGGGGAGAAGTTACTTATTGGGCACAGCTAGCTTCATATTTGCTATGCATCCAAAATGACCTTTAACTCCTAAGTCTCCTGTTTCTACCTCCTAAGTGACAGCTTTACAACATTCACCACTGTGCCTGGCTAGTTTGGATCTTGAATAGCTTCCACAGTCTCATCTGTTGAAGGCTTGATGCCTACACACTATTAGGAAGTGATGGAACCTTTCGGGTGAGGCCTTAATGGGAGTTTTTAAGGCTAGTGGAGGGCATATCCTTGCAAGGGGTTATGGGACCCTGGCCCCTTTCTCATTCTGTTTTGCTCTTTAGTCTTGAGTATTGATTGACTGGTGCTAGGAGATGAACCCAGGGCTCTTAGAAAGGGCATGCCCGTCCTTAGAGTGGGCAGTGCAGTAAGAGCCAAAAGAGGATGTTAAGGGCCCAGTGACATAAGACAAGTTCCCATCACAACCATGCCCTCCCTTGTACTCAAGCTCCTGAGGCACAGCAGAGGCCAGAGTAGGAGGAACATGCTAAGTTTTGACAGGAGGTGAACTAGAGGGTTGAGTTTGGTACCTGGGAATGAGTCTCAGTCTCAAGGTTGGCACAAAAGCCAAACCAAAGCAGAAGGCTATTTAGAGATAAGGTTAAAGGATGCAAAAGCAAGTTCTAAAAGATGATATACGGAAACGAAGCTGCCCCCTGTGTCAGCCCATTCAACCAACCAATTCCTCTGCATTTGCCCTGCACACCGTGCCTGCCCAGTGTGTATTGGCTCACATCATCTCTATAAGCTATAAAGAGGTAGGTCCCCACTCCACAGAGGAAAACAGGGATTACAGCAGAGCAGTTGCCAGGGCCCCACATCTGGGAAGTAGGGAGTCAGGGAGAAGAACTTTATCCCGAAGTGATGGGGGATGTCCTTCTGTACATATGTTTCTCTTATTGGT